AGATTGCCTTGGTTTACAATCCCACTATTTTAGCTCAAGAGTTGGTTGCACTCGACCAAGGCCTAGGCAGCTGTCGCTAGCGCCACAGTCAGATTCCCACCAAAGTTTATCGATGGTGAATCTTCAACTAGGTCTATCAGGTCAGCTGCATGAAAGAGAACATAAAGAAAAGAAGTCACCAAAAAAATAAAATAAAATAAATTAAGTAAGATCATGACTCCTCTTACCAATGAGTCGATCCTACTTAGACGATGTAGCTAAAAAGACATCCTCATCAGGTGTCAGTAGAGCACCAACTTCTTACACAGCTTGAATGTGATCGTCGGTAAGTTTTGTGTCATAGTAGAAGGTCGAGCCGACAAATCAATGGTCAGGCCGATCGCTCGAACGTTCCCCTGTCTGGTATTGAGGAATGCATCAGACGACCCTCTTGATTTGCCAGTGCAACCATTGCTTGATCGTCGGTAAGTTGTGTGTCATAGTAGAAGGTTGAGCCGACACATCAATGGTCAGGCCGATCGCTCGAACTTTCCCCTGCCTGGTATTGAGGAATGAATCAGACGACCCTCTTGATTTGCCAGTGCAACCATTTTTTCTTAATCGTGATTTTCTTCTTATTTGCATCTTCCGAGCAGTTCCGCTCCTACAGCTTCCCAAGGCGACATGAACATATCATTGTTAGGGGAATCGACTAGAGGATTTGGTGTTGTTCTCCATGACAACGCTTGAAAGACATCCAATTTGGATGAGAAGGGAAGCAAAGCAAATGTAGAAAGCAAAAAGAGTCATATCATTGCTTATTTATAAAGAACAAAGACGTAAAAATCAAGAAAGTTCAATCATTGAACCATTGATTAAGAATAAATATTACTTACCTTTTGCATTAAATTCTCTAATTTTTAGTGAAGTGTTAATTTCAAGAAGAAAGAGAATCGAACAACTAAAATATGTACATAAAAAAAAAATATTCCAATGTTGATCTTGAGAAGACCTAATGGTCCAAAAAAAGAGCCCACCAAAAGATGATCAAGTGGCCCTTTTATCTAACCAGATGCATCTGATCGAGCTGAAACCACAGCCGACCAGATGCTTTCGTCCGAGTCCAAGCCACCACCAACCTGATACAACCCTCTGAGCCAAAGCCAAAAACCGATTGAGTCACAAAGAGGATAAAAAGACAACCCAGTAATTCAAACTTAAACCATTTGGAGTTGAAACTAGACAAATATGAATTCAACTAACCACCAATACGTCGGAATTAGAATTTTATTTTCTACGCTGGGACAAGACTTGCAGAGTCTCTTGGCCCCACACATCTTTCAATCTGGTCAGCATCTGCAAGTTTTGTCACATAGATGGACACAAAGAAAATGAGTTGCAAAGTAGAGCACCGGCCAAAAAAAAAGAAAAACAAAACATGCGCGTAGCTCTTAAACAAGTAAGAATTCTGCACTTGGAAAGCTTCGAGATGGTGGCTTAGAAAGTCATGTGATGTAATCTGCCTACCACCTCCATAACTCCTCCCATCTCTGAATTTACTTCTTAATGATTTTAAAATTTTGCATTTTTTGTATTAGTTTTGCATGTCCATTTTAATGTGCTTCGCGTGCCAGATTGATAGATCTTATTATAATTAAATTTGTTGGTCTTATTGATTTGTTTTATGGGTAAGTTGTTGAAAAGATTTATGCTGGTTGGATAAAATTTTCATAATATTATTAATAACAATTCGTCATGACTCTCTAATGAGTGGAAGTTTATATTTTAGATAGATTAGTGCTCAAATTTGCATTAGTGGCATTAATCATTGTTCAATAACATCAGTGTGGACAGAGCCTTGCATCCCTGCATCATATTAATCTCATGCATCTATGAACATTAATCTCAATTTTAGATTAAGGGAGAAAGTGGCATTAATCTCAACTTTATGGCATTCGTTGAATCAATTTTTAGTAATTTTTTATTCATTTTTTGTTAGATTTAATTGTTAATCAACTTATTGCATTGTTATTCTCCAAAAAATCATGTTAGATAGTTAACCAATGTCTATATTTTGCTTTTTTTGGCCTGAATGAAATTTTAGTATGTGTGTGCAATCTTTCTATTAAAAATGTCTAATTTTCACCATATTTTGAAGAAAAACAACAACCATAGCTATATTTATAATTAATCTTAGCCATCCAAAAGTGTCTTTGGTCATAGAGTAAAATAATGGATATATATATATATATATATATGTACTGATCAAAGGAATTTTTAACAAAATAATTTAAGCACATGATGGGGGCAAACAACATGGAATTAACACCAAAAAAAATTCTTCAACGTTCTTATCAAATTAAAGGGGAATTTACATAGTACTCAAAAGTTTTGATTGTACCTATTTTACATCCAAATTTAAGTAGTACCATTGTAACACTCAAAACTTCTAAATAAAAACAAAAGTAGTACCCCTTAACCAGTTAAAATCCTTAACTAGTCATATCACTTGCTACTAATTGCTCGCACCACTAGAGATCTCACCACACTACAACAGCTCCTGTCAGCATACCATTCTCGACTTCTCTTCTTGCTCATTAGCACACCAGAAGTCACAAAAGTGTTCCGACACAAGCTGACATCCTTTCATCTTGTTTTCATGCTAGGCTGCATCATCTTCCTGCTCATCGAAGCAACACAAAGAACATTACCATACTTCCCAGTGTCTCTACACATCTCAGTTTCCCACTTGTCATCACAGAAGCTACCCTACCCATCTCTCATCTCTCTCTAGTCATAAACTACTAATTCCTCCTCTCCATAACTTCCTCCTAAACAATCAAATTCTAGTCTAGTCAAGGCAATCATCAATTCAGCTGAGATTAGCTAATGACATTAATAAGTGGCTAGATTGTGTAATATTTAAAGTTCATGTGCGAAATAGGTAAAAAACTTTAAGTGATGTATCAAAATCCCCCTAATTTAATTCTAAAATATCTCATGCCTTAAAAATCTTCACATTAGCTATAACTTACTCTAACATGAAAGATTTAATATCAATGAATATCATGTTTTGAGAGTCCACTCAATTACATTAACACAATTTATGAGCCACTCTGCATTTGAATCCAAACTCTATGAAGGCTATTGATTTTATGAACAACTTGATCCTATCTGATCCACATGCTACAAAAGTGAACTCGTGAAAGGGGACTAATATTCATTATAGTAGTTTATGTATTTATCATTGTCATATATCATTGTTGAAATTGTTCTCATTTACTATATAGTTTTTATCATTCTATTCTTTTATCTTCACATCAACATACTAGATGTTTGACCAAATTAATCAAATAAAGATTTGATATTTTTATGATTTCTGACATAAAGTTGACTCAATTCATCTATGAACATATTTGTTTTTAGCCCAAAAGCTTATTTCAATTGTAGTGGAAATCAAATAATATTTATATACTAATAAATCCTTGAAATATCTAATATGAGAACAATTTATAATTTTAAATATACATATCAAAAAACTTCAATAATCCTTGTGATTATTATATTTTCTGCATTCAATATGATAATATCATAAAATTTATACAACAACAACAACAACAACAACAAAGCCTTAATCCCACTACATGGGGTCGGCTACATGAATCTTTTTTCTCCATTGCGTCCAATTTAGTGTCATATTTTCATTTAGTTCTAGTAAATTAAGATCATTTTAATACAATAAGACCAAGTCTTCCTAGGTCTACCTCTGCCTTTGTTAACACAAGTCAAATCTAAAACATCTACTCTCCTAATGGAATCATCAGATGGTCGACGTTTAATATGACCAAGCCATCTAAGATGACTTTATCTAATTTTGTGCGTCACAAGAGCTAATATCATAAAATTTATGACATAACAAAATTGCTTTTATGTACCTACAAAACATGACAAAACATGCTCCCTGCTTATGATAACATTAGGTGTTCTACAATTCTTTGTTTCTCTTTTTCCGCTAAAGCTTTGGCAGCCTCTTAAACAGTTCACACTCTAAATAAATAGCGGTGACGTAATACGAGCTCATAATTATTTTTATTTTTATTTTTTAAATTATTTAATGGCATTTACAAACATACCACTCAAACTTTACGTATTTCCATTTGTAACACATGCAACTCAAATCTCTAATATCATGTAAGAAAATATCACTTATATATATATATAAGGAGTTAGATTCATAAAAATTTTTAAAGCATTTTTTTGACTTTTTACATCAAATTTAAATTGTATATGCACCCTTTTGGATGTCTACGTAATTTAAATATTAGAATAAAAATACAATAGATATGCACTGCAAAATTAATTAGCAAAAAAAATTAAAAAATCTAACTAAAAAAAACCTATTAATTTATTCATAAACTACCAAATTAACACATTTAAGAAAACCTAATTTAATTAAGAAAAACATGTTTTAAGTTCGCAGAAAGGGCCACACGGCCAACACGAAGTCAACTGTCATATTAGTCAATTGGCACATGATACTTCTCCGAACTCCGAAACTCACTATTTCTGATAAAATTAATTTAAAAGTAATAAATTTACGTCAACATAATATAATTTAAATTTATATCAAAATAAATTAAAAAAAAAATTAAAGGGATATTTACATCCATACCAAACAATTCTTATCTATTTACACATCTACCACCTAAACATTCATATTCACATACATACCACTCAAATATCAAGATCACTATCATTTTAAAAGTGAAATTGTCTCATCATGCTTATTTTTTTGGGCACCAAGGTGTTATAAGTGTAGATATCAAACTTTATGTGTTATGTATGTAAATACATAAATAATCCATGGCATGTATGTAAATATCCCATAAATAAAATATTCATTTTATCACAATATAATTAAATAAAAAACATTAAATCTCAACCGTGTGGCCCTATGTATATATATTTCCCTTCCACGACTCTAAATTATGGTTTTATGATCTCTCTCGCTCTCTCTATCTTTCTCACGTACGAATTCTCCGTCCACAACAAGCCAAACAAGCCATGGCACCAAAGCTCTTCAAATCCTTCTCCGGCTGCTGGTGTGGAGCCCACATCGCCGAAGATTCTAAGAAGAAGAGACTGCCGGTGCGGCGCATCGCCGCCGTCGAAAACTCGCCGCAGCGAATCAGTTTCAGCAACTCAACGAATACTTTATCACCAGAGGATCTCTCTCTCTCATTAGCGGGCTCCGATCTCCATATCTTCACCATGGAAGAGCTGAAGAGGATAACGAGAGGGTTCTCTACAAGCAACTTTATTGGGAGCGGTGGGTTCGGTCCGGTTTACAAAGGTTCGGTCGACGACAAGCTGCGGCCCGGGTTGCGGCCGCAGATGGTGGCTGTTAAGCTGCTTGATCTGGAAGGTTCGCAAGGGCATCAAGAATGGCTGGTGAGGATTATATGATATAATTTCATCACTAAATCATTTTCATAATTTTATAAATACAACTATAATTTGGATGAAAATTTTAATAAATCTAAAAGCTTTGATATTTCGTGTTGATTATAATATATATATATATA